ATAACATCTATATTTTGAATTTTTTTTATCTATGATATCATGGTAATTAATATATATTATATATATATATAATAAAAACTTTATTTAATAGCAATATACATTTTTAGGTAATAGCATTGATTCGCAAAAATTTCGTGATATTAATATAACAGCTGCACAGATTTGGAAAGACATGGGACATGATCAAGAATCGTGTAGCAAACTATTATCACAAATACAAAAATATAGGAGTAAAAAGGTACCATTTGATCACTTATACAATTATAAATCGGATACGCCAATTATTTGGTGAGAAAATGCACAACATGAAAAAGAAGAATGGGAATTACAAACACTAGCACTTTGTCTTTTTGCAATAACACCGCATAGTGCTTCTTGTGAGCGTTCCTTTTCAGTTCTCAGTTGGTTCTATAATCAAAGACATACCAATTTGGCTACGGAACGAGTAGAAGGGATGTGCAAACTACATACCTTTTATATTACTAACACTAAACAAGAATTGACTTGTTATGCAATTGATTTACCTGAAAATTTATTGTGTAACCAAATACTAGATACCGTTGCAACAATTAATAGTGAAACTGATGATGTTATTGAATTTTCTGACACAGATATCTCAGCTGATAACAACAATACTAGTACAGCAATAGATATATCTCAGGTATATACATTAGATATTATGAAGGATATAGATATTGGGCTGCAAATATTCAATATAGACCGAAGAACAAGTGAAGAGGAGGTAACAGGCAGTTCAAGAAGACAAGCTATTGTACTAGAACCACAACGCAATGATTTTGATGTTGAATCACTAGCTAGAAATATGTCAATGGAAATTGACAATGTTGAGAATTCTTAGATTTGCCTTCAAATTAAAACCAGTGAGTGGATATTTAAGTTTTGTTATATTAAACTTAACACTGAAAATTAAGATATTAAACCGTATATATGTTTAGTTTTTTTTTTTTTAATAATAAAATACTTTCTAATATAATATTTTAATTTACATATTTCTTAAGCGGTGTTATGGTGGGTGGAATATATAATGCAATTGGATGCTGCTCAACAAAAACGTCTGCAGAAAATGTTTTTAAAATAATGCTTGTGTTTTTTTTTGAGAGTCTAAGTTTCAAAGTAACATTCATTTCATCAATGGTGCAGGATAATGTACCAGGGAAATTTAATATAAACTTTAATATTATGTGGTATAAATTTTGTTTTCTTTTTCTCGATTATTTTGTTAGTACATAACAAAAGAAGTTAGGTAAAACTAAATTTTAGATTCACTATGTTGCGTGTAATTTTCAGAATGACTAGAACATTTATTGTATCATATGTGTGGTTAAATAGACATATTTTTTTTCAGAGATAAGTTTAACGCACTAACAACTTAAAAAATATTCACTTCCGGGCTTCAATTTTATAAAAATAAATTTCGGCTAAATTTTGGATTTCGGCAAGGGTTTCGGAATTCAGCGTAAGTTTCGAATCAGGGTTTCGGATTTTCGGTTTCGTCACATGTTTACTCCACATTTCATGTGATCGTACTAGTAAAAATTGACCTTGTGACTTTTCAGGAGCATGATTTACAGTTATACGTACATATGTAGTGCAATTTCTATAATTGACCAGTAATGATCCGTTATTATTCTCGAAGAAAAGAAAAATATCATATCTTAACTTATCACGAAAAATCGCTAGATAACTGTCATTGTAAATCTGAATAAAAAGATTGATAACAGTCTGTAATATTATACAAATATTTCTTGGATTTGTAAACTTGAAATTCAAACTTTAATCTACTCTTAACCGGAGCCTTTCAGGATGAATACAAATAGTGAAAACTTTAAGTCAAGTCCTACCCCAAAAATATTCGATCAAGAAAATAATAAAGTTGAAGATGCATTTCTAGCTTTTTTTGACGATGTTGGAGGACCAGAAATGGCACAATTCTTTAGTAATATTAGTAACGATCATTTTAGAACAAAAAAGGTAGATGAAAGTGAAGAGTATATTAGTGAAGAGAATTATGAGGAAACTAATGAAGAAAATTTAGAAGAAAGTAGTAAAAAAATGGATTTTGATTATGAAGAGGATAGAGGTATTATTTCATCTAAAATATCTAAAAAAGTAAAGCATTATATTATCCTTTTTTTTAAAGAAAATTATATCACAGTTTCTAGAGCAATCGAAGTTTTAATTAATAATAATAAGAAAGACTTTCATAATATTTGTTCCATAATGACTCTAAACCCGATAATATTGAAGACGGAAGCTTGCAACAAAGCAAGTACTCGAAGATTATGGAATTTAATCGGGAATTGGGAAATAAATCCAAAATGCTTAAATAATGTTGGTGATAATTGTGAAAAACTTCAAGTGTGCGATTTTCATTTCAATATGGATCAGAGATCGGATTTTCATAGAACAGGATTAAAAAATGAAGTTGATATTTCTTCGACAATAATTTCATTTAAAAACTGCCTTTTCTGTAATCAAAATTATCATGTGTTTACTAGGGGGGTTAATTGTAAAACTCATGCTTGGAGGATATTAGGAAAAGACATTCTATTTCCTTGTCTTGCATTATACACTTGTAAAATATTAGATACACATGAATCAATCATTTGTGAAAAATTAAACGTAGAGAAAAATTATTATCTTCCAAGTTATATTTGTCAAGCTTGTATCAACAATAATGGTGGTCATATTTATATACCTCCAGGACAAGGAAAGATGATGTTAGGTTGTGAATTAGAACATAAAAATGAAACAAGTTCAGGATTACACATTATTGGAAATTGGATTTTAGATGTAGCGGCCTCATCGGAAGAAGAATTAAAACATGATTTGCTTATTAAATTAACACATTCCTTGACTGTTTATTGGCAAAAGAATCAACCATTAAATAATCTTTTACATCAAAGTTCAACCATTCCCCCTAGTGTCTTTATAATAAACACTTGCTTAAAACTTGGAAAAGCAGAAAATTTAACAAAAAAAGGCTATCTAAAATAAGTCCAGAGGATTCTCTACAATTTGGGCAACAATTAGGCAAATCGATTTTTCAAGAAAATAAACATATTCAAGAACATAAGGAGGTGTTAGAATTACCAACCTCTCTTCTTGAATACTATAATAAACTACCTGAAGCAGCTACATTTTTTTTTCGTGGATTAATTAGTATATTGCTTAAACATCGATTTGATAAGACACAAAGGCAACACAAAGCCACTCCAATATATCAAGATCTTATTATTTTAATACGCATTGTTAGCTTTTTTGTGTCAATTATTTTAACAATAGCATATAAGGGAAAAAAATTTTGGGTAACTTATTTAATGGCAAGTATTTGTAGGCGTCCTAATTTTTTAGCATCACTACAGGCCGTATTACATTCAGTATATATTGTAGCACATACACAAAAGCATGAAAGTCATTTAGAAAAGCAAAGAATGAAGATGGTTAAACTGCACAAAAATCTATTATCTGGACCAAGGATTTGGAATCTAGCTGTCATAGACAACATTGACATTATTCCACAGTTATTTAAATTTGGAAATGTATTTGATATTCCAAGAAAGACTCTTCGTGCAACTTTGCAGATGGTACTTCAGTATACAATGCCAGTACCTATTTACGGAATTAGTGAGGCTCGTGCTATCATGCTATCAAATAATATGCGACCAATATTTGAAATTTCATCCTATACGTTAGAAATCTTGGATATTTTTAGCCATGTGTTTAAGGAATCACTTGATTGTACTTTCTTTCCATTTTTTTCATTTAAAAATGATTTTGATAACACAAATATACATAAAAAAATTTTAACATTCATTACTAAGGGATGCTCTATAGACTCACCTAATATAGTAATATTGGAAGCTGGTGGTGAACCAAATGACGACGAAGGAATTTTTGAATCATGTGAGATGTATAGCGATGAAATAGAACTGACAAAAAATAGAATTCATGATAATTTCACAGGTCAAATAAAAATTCAAGAATATTTAGATATTGCTTCAAATGAATCTATTTTTCGTAGAACATTAGATTATAAACGAGATATCAATCCTTATACACGTACTTTACTTGGTTCGTGGCATACTAGTAAGAATATGATTAGTGCAATTAATAATATTTTTTCAGGGTATGGCATATTCAATTTTGCTGCAGCCTTGGGGTGAAATATCTTGGTAATTTTCAAAAGGTTATAGAATATAGAGCAGCTTCCCTAACCTTAGATCTCATTTGGTCTTCAGTAGGAATAGCACTTTATTTATATGCTGCAAAAAAACAAGTACGATTGATTTTCTCTTAGATGGATGTCAAATAATTATTGCTCAACGTGGGCATTATTTTGGAAATGGACAGGATATTGGAAAGCACATAAAATAGGAATCCGTACTGGTAATTTTGCATTGCAAATACATGCTCTTAAAGCCTTTGCAGCATTGTTTGCTGTGGCTGGGAAAATGAATTATGCTACTTCAGTTTGCCATTACTTAGCAGAAATAGATAATGACTCACAGTTAGAAGCCCTTTTAAACCACGCAGCTTCGGTCAATATACGTCATGAAGATCATTATTTTGCACATGACGAAGCTGTAGAAATATTTATAAAATATATAAAGCACTCTATGTCTCAGTGTCCATTAGATGATCAAACTTTAAAATTATTTATTAAATCTGTTCAATCTGAAAATGCACGTATTCAGCTT